AGTAAATAATATAATTATTTATTTAGATGTATGGAAACAAAAAGTCATTACAGCTCATATACTCAGAGCTGAAAAAATATCAGCGTTCAGCAATAATCAGTAATTACGAACGGAACAGCGAAGTGCAACCGGGATGTGTGAGATTTGAAAGTATGAAACGTTTGTTCGATTTAAAAATACCATTAAAAGAATTAAATCGTTTAATATATAAAAATTTTTTGTAACAAATAAGTGCTTTTTAAACTGATGGTTTAATTAGCGGAATCAACCACCGTTTGAATAAAGGCAAAAAGTTAATAATTAATTACTTTCTCTGCTGAGGATGAAAAATAAATAAATAGGTGTTCGTTTAATCAAACTTTTCACAGAAATACGAAATTATGAGTATATGCAAATAAGTTGCAGTAACACTCATATTCTTTTGTAGTCGGTAGACCATACGCTGATGGCCTGAATGATACGATCGAAAAGGCATTGATAAATATCTACTTCAGAGATGAACTGACTCCAGGTAGAGTTTACAAGGTACGTTTCATTATTCCTGCTAATTTCTAGGAATTTCTTTTCAGAACTTAGAGTTTCCTATCTTTACGTGAAAAGGCTGACTGTAATGTCTATTGGTTTCTTTGTTCCTGGGGGGTACTAGGATGATAAGATATTCTTTCTGAAATTTTGACGTCCAAAGTTCGATCTTACAAATGCTTTTAAGCCGTTAATCCCAACAGTCAACGCATTCTCCCTAATGCATCAGCGTATTCAGCGAACAAACGAGAAATTTTCTCACAGTGGATGCAAGCATAAATGGAGACTCCCCAATATCCGTTCTTGACATGGACTTCAAGCGTTGTTAAACAACGATATGTGGATGAACCAAATTCACTTTACAACTGGTCGAATAATAAATCAATTATAATGCTCCCCCAGAACATTTGGGTTATATTTTGCCAACAAGGCAGTTTGTGATGCAGTTTCAAGTAAAAAATATTTTGCTGCTTCTTTTGAGACACACGATAAATCTTCTTCGTTGTCATTCTCTAGACACGTGCATAAAAATCATATCTGTGCACGGTACCCCTTAGTTCAAAACCGTCTTCACCGTAGCACGTAGGAGAAGTACCATGTAGCAAAATAATCACAAAGTTATCATAACGGATACGGTGTTTAAACTACAGTTGGATTATTGCGCATATTCAAAAAATCTTATGATTCGAATTTTGCAGTGCATTGACTCATACTGAGGGTTTCTTTGAGCTAATCCCTACTTTTTGATTTCCTCATCTATGGTGCATACGTATGCCCAGAATAGTGCATACATAGTCATTCACTACGTGCTCTGGCGATTTAACCATCATTATGAGTTACGTCCAACGTTGCTGTAAGCAGGTTAACCGCTGTTGTTGCTTGTTCAGTAGGACATTGTGACAGTAGCAAACAAATCGACTTTAAACTCAAGGTGCCGGATTTAATTCTGGACAGCCAAATTTTTTTCTTAACAGTAAATTTCCACGTTGATTTGGCGGGACCAGCGAAGCCGAAGTTGTAGTAAGGCGGTGATATCGAAAAAAATAGCAGTAGCACGGCATTCTAAGCTATCATTCTAGAAAGGACGAGTGTACAGCCGTGCGATTCGATGCATGTTCCTTTTGTGATTACATTTCCTACCTGATAGCTGATGAACTAGTGTAAAAATCAGCACAAGGTATAACCCCAATTTCGATTTCATTAAAAAAAAAACTCCATGCCGCGCAACAACACCTTCCTGACAAACAGGGGATGCAAGACTACACGAATTTTGTGGAAAGAGATACTCCTTTTCATATCAACTCTTTCACATGACCGAAAACGCTGGAAGTAAACGCGATCTCTCTACTTAACTCTCGTTGGATGGTACCACAGCAAAGGAGAAATAGCTTTTTTCACTCATGACGTAAGTGCGCTTGTTTGAAATGATTAATTGAAATATGGAGTTGGAAACCATAGTAGTTAATTATCGTGTTTCAGTTTGTGGAACCTTTTAGATGGATAAGTAAAATAGCAGGCGTTTTCCTCCTGGAGTGCGGGTTCAGACCCAAAGCGTGGCGTAAATTTTCTCTTCTTAACTGTTATTTCCCTTCAGCAAGGAATTCACCCGACTGTACTTTAGTGAAACCAGGCAAAAAACGGGTAGCAGGTCTTTTACCTGTAAATAATGAAGACGACATGGTGCTTTGATGGATCATGCGAAAGCGTGCAAAATATGCGCCCATGCTATTTGACGCGTGCGCTTTACAGCAGCAATTCGCCTTGATCCACTTGATGGCTGACTAAATTCAGGAAAAGGGGTAAACGTAAACTTAAATTTAAAATATACAAAGATTTACCAGGTCTGGTTCCATCATCTTGCAAATTCTAAAATTGTAGGAGACATTGTTTGATATGAAGGTTTTGATTCTACCTCGAAAATGGCAACAAAAAATTTTACTAATTCAACTGCATTAATCAATAACTGTTGCATATACAAACAGGACGATTTTTTGTAGGTTGATGGCTTTATGAATTCTGTGGCCAGAATCGGAATTAATATCATACTTCCTGGTTTTCGACTACCAAGTGAGTATATATCATTGCTTGTATGAAGTTTTCTGTGGTTCCAGTATGTGAATTTTACTCCTACAGTACAAATGCACTTCTACCATGCGGACTCTGTAGCCTGCACAGCTGAATACAACTTTACTTTTTACTATTCATGAATCTGCAGCGCTGTAAATGCGCTTCCCAATGAGATAGAGTAGATTAGGGAACTCAGCGAATTCAGAGATGAATTCAGAGTCTTCTGGCACAACGGTACGAACGCCAGCCTCATGCTTTTGTCGTTGAATTGGTGAATGTCTAGACGGCCTATCCGATTTCATGAGCAAACGGCCCCTTTCTGGTCGTTTCAACAATAGTTGAAATAATATATTACTTTCCAAAGTCAGAAATGAGCGTATCGTCTTCAACACATCGAAAGAATTCACTGATCTGAGCATATTTCGTCAAAAGTAGACACCACCTATAATATGGAATCATGAACTTGATCATGA